CAAACATCAATTCTCAACTAAGAAAAGTAAAGAGTCTCAGTGTCGCTGGCGAAGTGGGGGCCCATCCTTAACGCGCTTCAGTTTCTTCCTATTGACAAATATTATATTATTAAATATTGAGTATCCAAATATCCAAAGCTTCCCGGGCGCAGCACGGCTTTTGTGTATGCACCTGGCGCGCGTTGTTGCTGTTTTCAATGCATTAACGTATCGTGATACGATCCCGCATTCATGCCTATTCTTATACTAAAGCGCTAGATTTAACGTACTAGGCAGTAAAACGATTACTGACGCAAAGCTACAGTAATTTGATGGGCTAGCGTCCATGCATATCCTTGGATATGGCATTTCATGTTGCTTTACTCCTCGACTGGCTCGTAGTATTGCAGGTGCATACTGCGCTCATTCCGTCATGCTGCTGTTCGTAGTGATTGGTAAAAGGTAGAAAATTTGAGTCCGGCCAGTTCGGAGCCGCGGCAGCAGATGGTTCCCTTGGAGGGTGGAGTGGCTACCGTGATTACCAAAATAAGTTGAACTAAGCCAAAACCCAGCTGAGAATAAGTCTGATGGAACATATAACTTGGTTGGAAATATCGGTGAGAATCGAGAAAAAAAATGGATCAGTATTGTGATTTTTTCGATAACGAAAGTTGTTTTGCATTGCTTGTTGAGCAAAAAGTATGCTATAAAAAGTGTTGTCAGTGTAAGTTGCGAACGATATACTAGACCATACAGTGATTTACTCAGCACTACCAGCCCGAAATACCCTCTAGTAGCGTCAGCAAAAATCTGGTTTTAAACTGAGTAAAGGTTTGACACGTGCAAGGTCTGTAGCACAAGGTCTCTAATAATGAAAATTCACGTTACTATTATTCAGTCCCCATATTAGAGACTTAACAATAATAACGTTAATGTTTGGGTACACACAATAACTAGGATGCTTCGCTTTAGGCTGGGAGGACTGTGAAATGGCAAAACAGTAATTTGTTTAATTATCTTAATGCGTGCGAATGGTGATTCGCGTCCATTATTCTGTTTTCAACGAGGTGAGTCATTTTAAACATTAACTCTTTGTATTTTTTCAGGCTCATACAGTACTAGAAAAACACTTGGACGCTCAACTACGGCACCACGTAGGCTGAATTAGATATTTTACTGTGTTAAAGTGAAAACGTGAGGGCCGCTTCTTCGGCGGGTCTACCTGCCGAAGAACAGCAGCCTTACACCGCTACTAGATTAAACAACGCCTTTACTCCCGTGAAAAAAAGCTTAGTGTCATGGTTCAACCCATTACCTTGGCTCTATACGTGAGCAATTTAGGTTGTTCACAGCGACATACGGCTCTTGTGGTTGTATGGGGTGGTATCCTCAATTCAAGGCTGCCAGCGGATCACACGACGTCTCTTATATGGTAGCCGATGCTAGACACAGGGCAGCATTCGAGTAGTTCACGTTGATTCATGTTTAACTTTCAATTTCATTCTCAATTTTCCAGCCTACCACTCAAGTCTCGGACTACAATTCAAGGCGACCTGGTTGAGTTCCACGTTACCACGTGGCACTTAGCGATAGTTTATACAAAAAGAATCCTCGTTTTTGATATAATGGCGCGGTAGTTACAGAATATGGTCGTTTTCTTTTTCTGATAGCTCTTTTTGAATTGGTTTCCGCACTGAATCGTCCAAACGGTTCGAATTGAACGCTAAATTCACGACAATAATAAGAAATTGCAAGTGGACTTTGGAGCAAGATGATAATATTTAACGCATCATGAGTTATGATTGACGAGTCTGCTTTAGACGCACGTGATATTTGTTTTGAAAAGGTTTGTAAGAACGCATTAGCAAGTCTGGTGACCAACGTGCCACTAAGTTATGTATATGCTGTGTGTCGTGATGTATTCTGAAAGTTGCTTGCTACATGCAACATTTTGGAACGAATTAATCTGTGAGTCTGTCCATACAGCGCTTCTAGGTGCTCTCTCAGGATACTTTTAAATGCTGGGAATACCTTTAGGTATGGGGTTTGACCCAGTTTTACCCTTACACATTATATCGCACTGCGAGCCGTTGAAGGTTGCCAACTTCGCATGCTTCATTTGCCAACCAAGCATTGACACTCAAAGATCAATACAAGGCTAGCTTAAAGTATGATTAACTTGTACTAGCCGCAGGATCACCGCACTTGCAAAATGGTTTTGTAGTGGCACGTTGAGAT